TTTTTTTTTTTTAATTGACTTGCCTTCTGTTGACTAATCCTATCTTCTGTTGTATGTAGTATCCTGTTAAATCCCTCTGTTGGTCCATGAATTAACAGTATCAGTAATACCAGGGAGCTTGTTTAGAAATGCAGTATCTCTCTCAGGCCCCTTGCCAGAATCCGTGAATAAGAATCTTTTCTTTTTCAACAAAAATCATGCTTTTCAGGCTTTTCAACAAAAACCGTGGAAGCCAAAAGACAATCTCCAGGTTGTTATTATGAACGTTAAATTTTGAAAAATACTAATCTGCCTCATTCTAGCTTATTCAGTTAGGGGAAACAAAAACCTGTTTATTTATACAGTTGACGAAGCCCAGATAGGATATACCCTTGGGATCTTTACAGTAGAACCTATGTTATGTGCCATATACTTTGCTAAGCACTTTATCCATATTATCACATTTTTTCCTTCCAGCTATCCTCTGAACTCAGATTTCTGTCCTTATCCTTTAGAAGATGAAGCATAAGCTTAGAGAGATTAACTACCACAAGTTTACCTAGCTAGTAAATACCTGAACTCAGACTTCACCCATATCAGATTTTAAGCTAATGTTTTATAGATTATCACTGTTTAAACTGGAACACTTTTGAGGTGTAAAGACAGGCTATTAATAATTATTCTGGGACAGTAGACAGAGCAGACCTGTCTTGGTCCAGCCAGGTGATCTGCTCATCCTGTCTGCAGCTCTCTGCTGTATGGCACCTCTCTTTTCTGCATAGCTAATTTAGCTTCAGGAGCATTTGCTGCCGATCGTCCATGCCTATGCGATATTTTATGTGCTCGGCTTGCCATTACATAGAATGGCCAGATCCTCATGTGCTGTCTTCAGCTTAGGCATTACCTCTTCAGAAGCTTTCACTGAAGTCTTTACTTCATCTGACCTACCTCTGTTAAAATCAGAGCTGAATAGAAGTTAAAGTGATGAAAATGGATTTTACTTGATAAACTACTGTAATAGGGGAGACACTCCATTATAGAAGTGAGCTTGACTCTGAATACAGCCTGAACAAGTGGGGTTTTGTGGCCAAGGAACCAGTTTGACAGGGCATTGGTGAATGGAAAATTACTAAGAGTAGACATTAAGTCTGGGGGGATTCTGAGTGAACCAGCCTAATATGATTCTTGCTAAAGGCAGGTCAATGTGATCAGATATCACCTGCAGGATAATAGGGGTGAGGAGTTTGATTAGATATCTAAGGTGGTTTGCTAAATGGACTTAGCAGGATTCTTGCTAAAACTTGATTCTACGAGGAAAAACATGTATGGGCCATGTTCGGGAGGGTTCAGAGGGGCCTTGATAAAATTTGGCCAAGCAAAGAATATTTTTCATTTCTCCCCTGTACTTATTTGTTTTTTTTGTGTTCTTTACTATCATGGCACTGACCCTTTTGAATTGAGTTCTCCAATGGCATCTCTGAGTTCATCTCTTATAATGTGAGATCCTTAAAGTTAGGCACTATTTTTCCTTTTTGTATTTCCTGTACCCATTTTGTGCTTATTATGTAATAGAGTCTCTGTTAATATTAGTGGAATGTTGACTGTCCTTGCTCTAGAATGATATGGAACTGAATCACACTTAGATAATGGTTTGGAAAAGAAGAAGCACATTTAGGTGCTTTTAGTAAATAAAAATAAAAATAACTTTGATTGGGTGTGTAGGGAAAGAGTTAAAAATGACTGCGGTTTCTGTTCTATTCTTTTCCATCGATCAGAGTGTCTGTTTTTGTGCCAACTTAGAATCTATTCCAAATGACATTTCTAGCAATTATGTAACATGGTCCCCTGCCATCCTATCAGCCCTAGATGTTATCCCTCCTGTTTTTGCTAGTTGAATGGATATAAAGTGATATCACATAATTTTAACTCACATTTTATTCAACACTAGGTATTACCATCCTCTCACATGTTTATTAATTATTTTTAATTATTATTAATCATGGATTTGCTCTATTGTGAATAATTTATATCCACTTTTTTGCCATTTTCACTTTTTTATTTTGCTTTTTTAATTCTGATTTTTTTGTTATAAAATATTTAAAGTAATACTTCACATAGAAAAATATATATATCACTGTAGTCACCACAGTGGTGTGTAGTCACCACACAGCTTTTCAAATATATCATTTTGCTATTTTCAGATTTTTCTCTGATTCATTGTTATGAAGAATTACATTTTTCCAATTTAGCCATCTCTGCTATTATAGGATAAATGAACTTTATCTTAGTTTTTTTTATTTTTTAAGAATCATTGCAGGATTTGGTTTGCTAAAATTTAATATATTTAGGATTTTTGTACCTATTTTGGTGAGTCTATTTGATTATGATATCTGCCTGGTTTTGGTATCATGGTCCAAGTAAACTCACAAAGTATGTTAATTTCCCTGTTCTCTCTTTTTCTGTTCTCTGTAATAGTATACTGAAGGTTGGAATTGTCTTTCATGTTTGGTTGAACTAGTATATAAATTTTATCTGGGCTTCATGGTGGTTTTTCCTTTCTTCTTATTTCTTCTCTTTCCTCCTTTTCCTTTCTTCTGTATTTTTGTAAGTAGATAGTTTCTTTAATGGTTATAGTTCCTTTGAAGTTTTTAATTCTTAAAAAAAATTTTTTTTAACGTTTATTTTTTTTGAGAGAGAGAGAGAGAGAGAGACAGAGCATGAACAGAGGAGGGACAGAGAGAGAGGGAGACACAGAATCTGAAGCAGGTTCCAGGCTCTGAGCTGTTAGCACAGAGCTTGAACTCATGAGCTGTGAGATCATGACCTGAGTCGAAGTTGGACGCTCAACCAACTGAGCCACCCAGGCACCCCTGAAGTTTTTTATTTTTGAATCCGTTTTTTAAAATTACATATGGCTTTAAAATTGTCTGTCTACATTTTCAAATTTATTGTCATTGTTTATTCTCTTATTGTCTCCATAACCTATAATTATACTTTTAAAAACGTTTTTATTAATTTTTTAATGTTTATTTTTGGGAGAGAGAGAGAGAGAGAGAGAATGAGCATGAGTTGGGGAGGGGCAGAGAGAGAGACACACACAAAATCTGAAGCAGGTTCCAGGCTGTGAGCTTTCAGCACAGAGCCCTATATGGGGCTCACACTCATGAACTGTGAGATCATGATCTGAGCCGAAGTCGAACACTTAACTGACTGAGCCACCCAGGTGTGCCAGTTATACTTTTGAAAAATCATTAGTGTTTATCTGTGGTTTTTTTTCTTGATCAGATTTGACAAAGGCTTGTTTATTTTGTTAGTTATTGCAAATAATCAGCTTTTATTTTCTTGATTCTCTTTATTGAATCTTTCTTCTGTTAACTTCTGCTCTATCACATTTTCAACTGTCTTCTAGATTATTCTGTTGTTTTTTAATGTGTTGAGTTAGATAACTTAGATCATTCTTTGTTATCTTCTGATATAATCAGGTTAAAGCTATAATTTTTCCTCTTAAGTATCACTTTAGCTATATTCCACAATTTTTAATACATGTTATTAATTGTTCATTATAAATACTATTTAATTTCTGTTATAATTTCTCCTATAATCTCTGAGATATTGAGAAGTATGTGTAAATATAAGAATGAATACAAGGATACAGTTTAAAAGTTGTTACTCAATACTGTTTTTATATGTAACTTACTGAAATTATTATATATCTATGAGTAAACAGTTGTGTTGATAATTCAAATGAATATTTTATATCTTTATTGTCAGTGTGTTGAGTTGGTGTCATTTTTGTCTACAGTGGAAAAGATCAAAACATTACTAGAATAAAAATAACGTTTGTTTTTGTGAGGCTTATGTTTTCAAATATATAGGATTAAGTATGTTAACTAACTTGAATTTTAAAAAATTAAAAAAAATTTTTTTAAGTATTTATTTCTGATTTAGCTGAAATGTGGTTAGAGAACATGTTGATTATTCTCTGGCACTTTGGGAGACTTGTTCTTAGACCCCAAAAGATTGGAATGTGTATGTGTGTGTCTATGTGTGAATGTTCTATATGTGCTGGGAGATAATGTGCATTATTTAATTGTGTGGCTTTTTGTTTCATATGCTTTTTAAAAAGTTCAGTAGTCTTCAAACCTTTGTTAATGTACCTTTGAAAATATCTTTGAAAAAAATCATATACCCCTGCAGTTTAAGATGACATTAAAATATTTTCCTTGTAAGTGTAAAAAGTGCAAAAAATATAGTTACTGGTGCACTGTGTAAAATTTAACATTAAAAAAAAACTGTTGTGCTGTTCTCTTAAAAGTATTCAGTGATCTCCAAATAGTTTAGTTGATACTCTCATTATCAATTAAAACACACACAGATTTGAATTAACCTTTCTGTGCAAGATACCTAAAAAAAATTAGATAAAATGTTTTTAAAAATCTGCTTGAAAGAGTTCCAGCAATCATATTTTAAAAAGCAGGGAAAAAGATTAAATTAAGAATTGAGTTTAAGTCATGCTGAACCAAAAGATGTCAATTGCTACTGCACTTGTGCCGAATAAGAGTTGTTATTTCAATCCTGTTACAAATTACAGATGTTCCATAAATGTACTTGCTGCGCTTTGTAATCATTTCTTTTCTTACCTCTTTCCTAGGAATCACGCCCGTGTATCATAGTATGTTTGCTTTAATGAGTGAAACCGAAAGGACCTGGTATCCGCCCAACCATGTCTTCCATGTAGATGAATCAACCAGGCACAACATACTCTACAGAATAAGGTACCTTCTACAGTAAAGTGACTCATTTAGTGGTTAAAGGGCAAAGTGAGAGAAATTATCAAACATATATGTACATTTTTTCTGAGTTTATTTATTATGAGTGGGGGAAGGGACAGAGAGGGGAGAGATAGAATCCCAAGCAGGCTGCACGCTTGGCATGGAGCCCAGCCTGGGGCTGGATCTCAGGACTGCGAGATCACAACCTGAGCTGATCTCGAGTTAGACGCTCAACTGACGGAGCAACCGAGACGCCCCCAGACATATCTTTAAATTGCAGAGTACTTAATAACAGGGACCAGAGCTTCATTTAAGACTTTTTCTCTACTAGAGGAAGTGTTTATAAATGTTTTTTCACTAGAATGCTCTGAGCTTTTCTGGTGGGTTGCTACTTTACCATTTAGTATTATAATTAAATTTTAAAAAGGATGTGAATGGCCTTTACTAATAAAATCCTGAATAAAATCCAAATAAAACTTGGAATATTGTTGGTTTCCTAGGAAATTCAATATTTTGTGCAACAAAATGTAATCTCCCATCTCTTTTTAATAATTTTTTTTAGTGGAGCACCTGGGTGGCTCATTCAGTTAAGCGTCCAACTTCCATGATTTATGAGTTTGAGCCCCGCGTCGGACTCTGTGCTGATAGCTCAGAGCTTGAAGCCTGCTTTGGATTCTGTGTCTCTCTCCCTCTCTGTCTGCCCTCCCCACTTGTGTTCTCTGTCTCTCAAAAATAAATAAATAAGCTTTAAAAAATATATAATTTTTTTAGAGTTGAAGTAGACGTATGATTTTGCCAGTGTTATTTGCAGCCGCAAATTATTAGTTAATTTATTTAATAATTTTCCACTCAAAATGATAAAACAAAGAAATACGTTTGATCTGTGGCTCTTATGAAATAGATTCATTCCATGCAGAGTCAGTGTTACATAGTAAAAATGCACATGGACTCATTCATGATTTTTAAAAGGAAAGAAAAGGAAGCCTTAAAAAACTAAAATTCAAGAGAGATATCCTTACCATGGTAAAGGGTAAAGGATATTTACCAAAGGCAAGAAGCAAGTAATATTCTCAAATGGTAAGAGGTCAGAAGCAGTCTCTAAAATCACAAACAAGATAAAAAACAAAAATAGCCACCACCACTAGTTCTATTTAGGATTTTAGTGGAGTTCTCAACAAATACAGTTAAGACAAAAAAATACACAAAATATTTAGTAATTGAGAACAAAGAAGCAAAGAGTCATTATTTGGAGATGCTATGATTGTTAACATAGAAAATGCAAACAAATTTATAGGCATCAATAATAAATGTTCAGCAGAATGCTAGATCTATATGATCAGTACGTTAAAAGTCAACTATTTCTGGAGCACCTGGGTGGCTTAGTTGGGTGGCTCAGTTGGTTAAATGTCTCACTCTTGATTGTTTTTTTCTTTTTTTCTTTTTTTCCTGACTCTTGATTTTTAATGGGATCGAGTCCCATGTCACGCTCCACACTGGGCGTGGAGCCTGCGTAAGATTCACTCCCCTGCCTCATTCTGCCCCTCTTCCCCACTTGTGCGTGTGTGCGTTCTCTCTCTCAATAAATAAATAAACAAACATTAAAAGAAATCAACTATTTCTCTACACCACAAACAGAAAAGAGGTCATTTAAGATAACAACTAATAGCAACAAAAAATGCAAAGTACCTAGGGTTAAATCTATCCAAAGTAAGACTTTTATGCAGGTTTTAAGACTTTACAAATTTGTATCATTTATTTTATTTTTGCGTATTTATTTTTTTAATTTTTTTTATTTTTGAGAGAGCGTGAGTGGGGGCAAGGCACAAAGAGGAGGAGACAGAGGATCTGAAATGGGCTCTGTGCTCACAGCAGCAAGCCCGATGCAAGGCTCAAACTCAAAAACTGCAAGATCACGACTTGAGCTGAAGTCAGATGCTCAACAAACTGAGCCATCCAGGTGCCCCCAAAGTTGTATTATGTAAAAGAAGCATGTTAGCATGCTCCGTAGATTGACAAAATACCAATATTTTATTGGGAGTATTTTTTTTATTGCTTTCTGTAATGACTGTACTTTCTGCAATTAGTAAGTGTATCTTTTGATTTGAGAATGTTTGTAGAGGAGAGCTCTACAGTCTTTTTCTGAGAAGGCCATTAGTAAATATTTTAGGCTTTGAAGCTATACTATCTCTGTTTTCACTCTTCAGCTCTGTTATTCAAGTGTGAAAGCAACCATGAATAAGAAGTAAATGAATGGGCATGACTGTGTTCCAGTAAAACTTTATTTATAAAAACTCACAGTGGACCAGAATGGGGCTGTGGGCCAGAGTTTGCTGATCTCTTCTCAAGAATTAAAAATTGTTTCCCTTATCAAATTTTTTCCCTTATCAATTTTTTTAATGTTTATTTTTGAATATTAATTATTATTTATTTATTTTTGAGAGACAGAGAGAGAGCATGAGCAGGGGAGGGGCAGATAGAAAGAGAGACACACACAGAATCAGAAGCAGGCTCCAGGCTCCAAGCTGTCAGCACAGAGCCCAATGCGGGGCTTGAACCCGTGAACCGTGAGATCATGACCTGAGCTGAAGTCAGATGCTTAACTGACTGACCCACCCAGGTGCCCCAAAATGCCTTTTTAAAAAATGTTTATTTATTTTGAGAGGGGGGTTGTTTATTTATTTGCAGAGAGAGAGGGAGACAGAATCCCAAGCAGGTTCCGCACTGTCAGCACAGAATCCAGCGCAGGGCTTGATCTCTTGAATGGTGAGATCATGATCTGAGCTGAAGTCAAGAGTCGGACGCTCAACCAACTGAAGCACCCAGGTGCCCCCCAAAAATTAACTTAAAATGAATCAAAGACTTAAATCTAAGAGCTAAAACTATAAAACTCTTAGAAGACAATATAGGAGTAAATCTTTGTGTACTTAGAGTACGCATTGGTTTCTTCAGTATGGCACCAAAAGCCCAAGTGACAAAAGAAAAGTACGTTAATTGGGATACATCAAAATGTATGTTTGTGCATCAACGGTTGCTGTCAAGAATGAAAAGACAAGGGTGCCTGGTTTGTTCAGTCAGTTGAGCATCTGATTCTTGACTGGCTCAGGTCATGATCTCATGGTTTATGAGATCAAGCCCTGTTTTGGGCTCTGTGCTGACACCGTGGAACCTGCTTGGGATTCTCTCTCTCCCTCTCTCTCTCTGTCCCTCTCCTGTTCACATGCATGCTCTCTCTTTCTCTCTCAAAAATAAATAAGTAAGCTTTAAAAGAAAAAAGAATGTGAAAAGACAGCCCACAGAATGGAAGAAAATGCTTGTAACTCATATATTTGATCAGGGTCTTACATCTGGAATACATAAAGAATTCTCCACTGAGAGAATGGAGCCCAACTTGTGGCTCTATCCCATGAACTATGAGATCATATCCTGAAAATAAATCAAGAGTCAGATGCTTTACCAACTGAGCCACCCAGGTACCCCTGGAATACATAAAGAATTCTTAACGGTTCAATAGTACAGTGACAGATAACTCAGCGAAAATATGAACAAAGGATTTGAATAGACATTTTTCTAAATAAGACATACAAATAGCCAGTAAGCACATGAAGGGATGCTCAACATCATTAGTCTTTAGAGAAATGTAAATCAGAAACACAGCAGGACACCAGTTCACCCGTTAGGATGACAAAGATATAAAAGATGGACAATAACAAGTTGTTATGAATTTGCCTAATTATTACTTATGAAATAGGGCACGGGGTGTTGGATGGTGAGCCATGCTTCAACAACAGAGCACAAGAGAAATTGAAATAGAAAAGTTTATTACTCAAAGGTTCTGGAGGTATCCAGCATGCCTTGAGGGGCCACATGGAGAGATCAAGGCAGGGTGTAGAGAGGGACATAGGACCCAGGGCACACGACTTCCCTAGGGTCTGTGAGTAGAGTGCTTTGGGGTTCCTTGCCTAAGGCCCAATTTGGTCGGTTCAAGCCAAAAGAGCTGGTCTTTGGTAAGCTACATGGGAGTCTTATTGAAGGGGCTTTTAAGGGTTAGGTGCTGGAAAACAGGGGAGATTGTTGATCACAAGGGTGTTGGGGAAGTTTTATCAGAAACTCACATTTGCTTGTGACTCAGTGGGCTGTTGTGTAGGGCGTGTACTTGCATGAAGGGGCTAGTGTCAGTTTAAGGTCACTGCAGGCCTCTTGGTTAAACAAAATGGACGCCAAGTCAGCAATACCAAAGACTAACTTAGCGAAACTCTCCACGTGTTGTCAAGGATCTGAACTATTGGGACACTTACATGTTGCTGTTGGAGATGTAAACTAGTGCAGCCACTTTAACAGTTTGTTCCTCAAAAAGATGGACGTAGAAAACACACACACACTTACCCTTGTACATACTGTTCCTAGCAGCCTTATCCACAATAGCAAAAAGATGGAAACAATCCAAATGTCCATTGTGTGATGAATGAAGAAGCAAAATGTGGTTTATCCATACGATCAAATATTAACTGGGCATTAAAAAGGGAATGAAATACTAATGTTTGCTATAATGTAGATAGTCCTTGAAAATATTATGCTTATGAAAGGAGGTAGAAAAGGCCACATATTATATGATTCCATTTATATAAAATGTTCAAAACAGGCAAATTTATAGAGATAGACTAGTGGTAACTTAGAGGTGGAGAGTAGTTGGGATGATTTGGGTATGGCTGTTGGTAGGTATGGAATTTCTTTTAGGGGGGATGAAAATGTTCTAAAATTAGATTGTGGGATGTTTGTACAATGTTTCAAACATACTAAAAAACATTTTGAATTGTATGCTTTAAATGGGTAAACTTTAAGGTATGTGAATTATATCTCAGTAAAGGTGTAAATGAAGCAATAGAGAATATTTTTTGTTTCTTTGAAGGACAAGTTTTTAGCTTGTTTCATTGATTCATTCATTTGTACTGAAGTGTTGTTGACATACTCTGTTAGTTTCAGGTATACAACATAGTGATTTGATAATTCCGTACATTATGAAATGCTCACCATGGCAAGCCTACTTGTCATCTGTTATTATAGTTATTATAGTATTAGTTACAATAACCATAGTTATTATAGTATAAGTGACTATATTCCATATGCTGTACTTTTCATCCCCATGACTTCTTTATTTTGGCACTGGAAGTTTGTAACTCTTAATCCTCTCGGCCTATTTCACCTGTGTTCCACTCCCCAAAGCAACTGCCAGTTTTTTTCTCTATAGTCTGTTTCTTTTTTATATTTTAGTTCATTTGTTTCACTTTTTAGTTGGCACATATAAGTGAAATATGGTATTAGTCCTTTTCTGTATGACTTCTTTCACTTAGCATAACACCTTTTAGGTCTACCTATGTTGTCATTGGCAACATTGCATTCTTTTTTATTGATGAGTAATAGTCCATAATGTATGTATACCACACTTCATCTGTTCATCTGTTGATGGACACTTGGGCTGCTTCCATATCTTGGGTATTGTAAATTATGCTGCAGTAAGCATAGGGGTGCCTGTCCCATTTCAAATTAGTGTTTTCATTTTCTTTAGGTAAATACCCAGTAGTGGAATTACTGGGTTGTATGGTGTTGCTATTTTTAGTATTTTGAGAACCTGCATACTGTTTGTCGTCATGGCTGCACCAACTTACAGTGCTTCCAGCGGTGCCCGGAGGGTCTCTTTTCTCCACCTCTTCGCCAGCACTTGTTATTTCTTGTCTTTTTGATACTAGCCATTCTGACAGGTGTGAAGTGGTATCCTGTGGTGATTAACCTCCATTTCCTAAAAGAAGAAGCCATTGTTTTCATACCAGTTAGCATTTTCAGATTCCTCTACCGATATCACTGGATTAATATTAAAACAATTTTTTGTTAATATTTTGTTTCTACATTTTTCTGTTTCCTCTTGCTTTTGCATTCTGTGCATAGAAGCAGGCAGCTCACGGGCACCTGGGTGGCTCAGTCGGTTAAGCGTCCGACTCTTGATTTTGGCTCAGGTCGTGATCTCACAGTTTGTGGGACCCTGCTTGGGATTCTCTCTCCCTCTCTCTTTGCTCCTCTCCCACTAACACACACACGCTGTCTCCCTCTAAATAAATATGTACATACATACATAAATAACCTTTAAAAAAAAGCAAAAAGCATATTGATTTTACACTTACGTTTCTTGTATCTTCTGTCTATACTATTATCATGGTCTTACCCAGATTTTCTTTTGTCCCTACCTGTATTTAACACTGTTAGCTGTGTTTTCTGATTATGGGATAATACCTTTCAGTATGCTGGAAGTGGTTATATGTACATAGTATGTTTATATTTGAACTATTTGGAGGCTGACTGAATGTTTTGTCTTGTAGATTTTACTTTCCTTACTGGTATTGTAATGGCAGCAACAGAACCTATCGGCATGGAGTGTCTCGAGGTGCTGAAGCTCCTCTTCTTGATGACTTTGTCATGTCTTACCTTTTTGCTCAGGTATAATTATATTATCTTACTTGTATATGTGTTAAATGATAAGAATCTTGCTGTGTTCTGTAGCTCTTCATCAGGAAAATCTTCATCTATGGGAAAATTGATGTTCTGTCTTGCTTAGCAGGTACAGAAAGGTAACAAAATTGACTCTTTTTATCACTAGTTTTTAATCTTTTTATCACTAATTTTTAATTTATTATTTATAACTTATAAATAATAAAATCTATTTTATAAAGCTTCCCTTAATTAGCTCTTTTTATTTATTTTTTTTAATGCTTTGTGACATTTTAAGGATTTCACAAAGTTCAGATTGAGTTACAGCACATGATTCACGTAGATATAAGTGTCTGGAATATAAGACAGTGAAATTAATTTAGAGAAAAAAAATTTTTTTTATTCCTGAACAATTTCAGACTTAAATAGTGAGTAATAAAATGTAAAGAAAAGTAGGAAACTATATAAAAGTGAGTTAACAATAGTTTGTTTAGCTCCTCATAAGAGGATGGCTAGATGTTAATACTTGATCTGAGAGCTGTGTTTTAGTTATTTGTTCATTAATACTGCTGTATTAAATTTTTGTAGAGTATTTGAACATTTTATAATGTTTTCTTATTGTTACCTTAATGTAAACAATAATTGAAATGTTATGTCATTAAATAACTTCTGTTTTTATGTGCCATAAGACTGAGGAGTAGAAACTAAAGAAAAAATTTATTAGTGCTTTTGAGTAAAGGTATGCTCTTCTTATTCCCAAAATGTCAGAGTAAGGAGTTCTGAATCCGATTTGCAAATATCATAGGAAATAGCTACACAGATCCTCATGGCTCACATTTCTTTTCTTTTCTTTGTTTTTTTTTAAATCCAAGTTAGTTAATATATAGTGTAGTCTTGGATTCAGGAGTACAACCCAGTGATTCATCACTGACATTAACACCCAGTGCTCATCCCAACAAGTGCCCTCCTTAATGCCCATCACCCATTTAGCCCACACCCCCACCCAACATCCCTCCAGCAGCCCTGTTTGTTCTCTGTGTTTTAGAGTCTCTTATGGTTTGCCTTCCTCTCTTTTTATCTTGTTTTTCCTTCCCTTCCCTTCCCTTAAGTTCATCTGTTTTATTTCTTAAATTCCACATATGAGTGAAATTGTGTATATTTTTCTGACTTATTTCGCTTAGCGTAATACACTCTAGTTCCATCCACGTTATTGCAAATGACAAGATTTCATTCTTTTCGATTGCCAAGTGATATTCCATTGTGTGTGTATATATGTATACGTATATATGTATCACATGTTTTTCATCCATTCGTCAGTCAATGGACATTTGGGCTTTCTCTATAATTTGGCTATTATCACTAGTGCTGCCATAAACATTGGGGTGCATTTGCTCACAGCTCATATTTCTAAGATATCTAAGAAAGCTGGTTCAGTTTGTGAGCAACAAACTGAAAGATATTTCTCTTTTGGGTTATGAGAACAAGAAACTTTCTCTAAATTCTAGTAAAATATATTTAGTAAAAGTTACCATTTTGACATGGACACATTAGTGGCATTAAAGTACATTCACATTATTGTGCAACCATTACCACCATTCACTTTAGAACATTTTTCATCTTCCTAGACTGAAACTTCATACCTATTAAACAAGGCCTCTTGTTCAGTGCCTCATGCTCTTCTGGCCCCTGGCAGCTATTTCGCTTTCTGTCTCTGTCTCTGGGTTTGCCTCCTCTGGGTGCCTCATGTGAGTGGTATTACACAGCATTTCCTCTCTTATGACTGACTGACTTGTCATAACATAATGCCTTCAAGGTCATCCATGTCATAGCATGTCAGAATTTCCTCCCTTTTTAAGGGTGGCTAATATTCCATCGTATAGACCACATTTTGTTTATCCATTTATCTGTTAATATTTGGGTTGCTTCCACCTTTTGGCTCTTACGAATAACACTGCTGAGAACATAGGTGTACAAATATCTCTTTGAGATCCTGCTTTCAATTCCTTTGGATAGGTATCCAGAAGTAGAATTATTAGATTACATGGTAAATCTGTTTTTTATTTTTTTGAGGAACTGCTACCCTGTTTTCTATGGCAGCTGCACATTCCACCAGCACTGCACAAGGATTCGTTTCTCCACATCCTCACTAGCACTTACTTTCTGGTTTTTTAATAATAGCCATTCTGATGGATGTGAAGTGATATCTCATTGTGGTTTTGATATGCATTTCCCTAATGATTAGTGATGTTGAGCATTTTTCTTAAGCTTTTTGGAGGTTTGTACATCTTCTTTGGGTACATTACTATTTGTGTCCTTTGCCCATTTTTTAATCAGGTTGTTGTCAAGCTGTAAGTGTTCTTTATGTATTCTGGGTATTAACCCCCGATCTGCCATATGATTTGTAAATCTTTTCTCCCATTCTGTCTATTGCCTTTCACACCTGTTGATGTGTCTTGTGATGCCCAACAGTTTTAAATTTTGATATAATCTGATTTTTTTTTCTTGTATTTACCTGTGCTTTTGGTATCATGTCCAAGAAATCATTACCAAATCAGTATCATGAAGCTTTCCCCCTATATTCTCTTGCAGTATTTTATTGTTTTAGCTCTTATGTGCTTGTGTTTAGATCGTTGATTCATTTTGAGTTAACTGTTATTGATGGTGTAAGGTAAAGGCCAAATTTCATTCTTTTGCATGTGGATATCTAGTTTTTCCAGCACCATTTGTTGAAAAAACTGTTTCTTTCTCCATCGAATGATCTTGGTGCTCTTGTCAAAAATAATTTGACCACCACCCAGCTTTTAGATAGCTTCAGTAGCTTTTAAAACCTTTGTTTCAGTAGCCATTAAAAAGAGAGATAGACTTTTGAGAATAAATACTATGAGGTTATGACTATGTTCTTTTATGATTATGTCACCTGTGCTGCAGAACTGGTTTTTATTTTGGTGGCATGCTAATTTAAATCCCATTAAGAAGACGATTTTCCTAAACTGTTTATTCAGCTGCTTTACCGTAGTATTAATACTGTGATATCTCATACTTATGATCAAGAAAAATTGTGGATGATTTCTAATTTTGTCTTCCTAGGAAGAATTTTCTTATCTAGCACAGCAAAATAATTTCACAATAGAATCCTAAGTTGTATCTAGATAATAAATACCACATGTAATTTTCTATTTCTTAATGTTTCTATTTCTCTAAATCTGTGCCCAGAAAATACATAAGGTAGTAATTAACTTATCCAGCTCATATTGATACCAGGTTAGATTATATGCATATTATAGACTAAATAAAGCAGATTTGACTGGTGCCACCATCAAAGTATAAGATATGTTGAGATTTTTAAATAACTAAAAAAAGTTCAGCCACTAAAGTATAAAGTACATAAGATATTACTATAGAAAGATAGATTTGGGAAAGGTAAGCCAATAAAAGCCAAAAATCAGATGTCCCTTTTATTTTTTTTATTTTTATTTTTATTAAATTTTTTTTTAACGTTTATTTATTTTTGAGACAGGGAGAGACAGAGCATGAATGGGGGAGGGTCAGAGAGAGAGGGAGACACAGAATCTGAAACAGGCTCCAGGCTCTGAGCTGTCAGCACAGAGCCCGACGTGGGGCTCGAACTCATGGACTGCGAGATGGTGACCTGAGCCGAATTCGGACGCTTAACCCACTGAGCTACCCAGGTGCCCCAGATGTCCCTTTTAAATTCATTTTCTTCTGAGGATTGTCTTATAGCACCTCAGTAAATAAATAAATTGCTGCCCTGTGACAACCTTTAATGAATTCATAGATACTCAGCACAAAATGTATATTCCCTCCATATTGTTTCTTTAAAACCTCGGTTAAACATTGGTATTTCAGCTAATATTGTAATTCTTACCTTTCTTATCAAGAAAATTGCTTTTTATGTTTTGCTGTTCTTTTCTCCCATTACACGTTCAGTCTGATTTCCATATTCCTAAATCATCTAGACCAAAATCTTGAAATTTTTGTTTTTTCTTTTTCTTCATTTTTTATATCATGATAACGTTATCATTTTTTTCAAACTCTTTTAGTGTCTTCTGTTCCCTACATCAGATCCTTGTTATCTCATATTTGTACCTCTTACAGAGTCTCCTTGAATACACATTATTTCCTTAAAGCACTTTTTTATTATCATTGGTATGTCTACCAATGGAAGAGGCATGATGCTTTAAGAAAAGGTGCTGTGAGAAACTGATGCTTTAAAAAAATGGTTGTCTATTGCTTGTTAGGATCAAGTCATTCAAGGGTACCTTCAGTTTGACTCCAACTTAGTGTTCCAAGGTTTAGTCCACACTATTCCCTTACATAAGTTGTCTGCCCTACCAAACTTGTTTGTACCTGTAAATATGCCTTGTGCTTTGTTTTTGTATCATTCCTTCTATTTTATCACCCTGTTTTGTATATCAGAAATTTCTTCATCTTTTAAGACTACATGAAATTTTGAATTTTCCATGAAACCTTCTCTGATTATCTCAACTGGTATAATTTCAACTTCTTTTCAAGTCCTTGAAACATGTGTTGTGTGGCACTTAGTGTAGATATCTGGTGTTATAATACTTTGTTTACGTGTTTAGCTTCCCTGCTAGATTTTAGTCTCCTTGAGGGAGACTTCTATTTGTATCTCACACAGTCCTTAGTATAATGCTTTGAATATATGTGGAACTCAGGACATATTTAATTAATTAATGTCTATTTTAATTTGGGTAATTTTTATGTAGGGGATATAACTTGAGAAGATATAAGCAGTGAAATAGATTGACATCATATGTACTGTATAATGGGGAACCCAGTTTAAATCAGTTTCCATTGACAAAACTTTTACTAAAATTTTGTGGCAAAATAATTGAACATCAAGGAAGGAGTTGACGTTCTTTTTAAATGCATATGTTCTAGAAATTATAGGTTAAAATACGATAGTAGATTAAAATGTGATAGTGAAATTTAAGGTATATTTCCTTCTAAATTTTTTTCCTTTAGTGGCGGCATGATTTTTTACATGGATGGATAAAAATACCGGTGACTCATGAAACGCAGGAAGAATGTCTTGGAATGGCAGTGTTAGATATGATGAGACTAGCCAAAGAGAAGGATCAAACCCCATTGGACATCTATAGCTCTATCAGGTAGTTTCCTTATGCAAATCCATATACATCAATATGAACAGTTGGGAGTTTTTCTATAGTTAATTGTATTTTCTGTGTGTTGATACTTTTTGATCTTATCATAATTAAAACTTCTATGGGTAACTGTTCTTCCTTGTGTACAACACATACTTTGTGAGATAAAAGAAATTCTTTTTTCTGGCTTTTCTTTTAGTTTTATTGAGACATAATTGGCATATAGCACTTAAAAGTTTAAGGTGTAGAGCATCATGACTTGTCTTATATATATTTGTGAAGCAGTTACCACAGTAAGTTTAGTTAATATCCATCATCTTGTATAGGTACCAAATAAAGAGAAAGAAAAAGAAATTTTTTTTCCTTATGATAAGAATTCTTAGCATCTACTCCATTAAAAACTTTCTTGTATACCAGACAGCAGTGTTAAGTATAGTCATCATATTGTACATTACATCCCAAGTACTGATTTATCTTAGAATTTAAAAAAATTATGGAAAGAGTTGGAGTACTACACAAAATATCACAGGGGTTTGATACCTATTAATTATTTGATTCGTTTATTTTGAAAAGGCTAAGTAAAGTCAGAAGGATGAAAAGAACACCTGGAGGCATAATTTCTGATAGCAGATCCTCAGATTGTGTGTGTACATAATTCTGAAGCAGTATTTCTCGCATATTGACCCATATTTTGCTTGAATTAGTATCACCTGAGGTGCTTGTTGAACTTGAAGATCTTTGAGTGCTACCCAAGAATTTTTTTTATGTTTATTTATTTTTGAGACAGAAAGAGAGCATGAGTGGGGGAGGGGCAGAGAGCGAGGGAGACACAGAATCCGAAGCAGGCTCCGGGCTCCGAGCTGTCAGCCCAGAGCCTGACGCGGGGCTCAAACCCACCAACCATGAGATCATGACCTGAGCCGAAGTTGGATGCTTAACTGACTGAGCCACCCAGGTGCCCCAAGTGCTACCCAAGAATTTAGATTCCGTAAATCTGAAGTGAAGTCCACAAATATCAGTCTTCACCTGTTCTCCAGGGGATTCTCTTAAAAATATTAGCTTTATTGAAGTTTCATTAACTTGCAAAATTGTAAGATGATTGAAAGTGTGTGTACATCATGGTGGTTTGATATATGTATATGTTGTGAAAGGATTCCCCCCATCTAGTTTATTTTCACATCCATCACCTCATATGATTATCTTTTTTATTTGTGTTTTTGTGTTTTTTTGGTGAGAATGTTTAAGCGCTCTTAGCAAATTTCAGTTCTACAACAGTGTTATCATTTAGAGTCACCGTGTTTTACATTAGATCCTTAGATCTTACTCATCTTATAACTGATCCAGCAGACTCTTTTATAAGTGATCCACATTCCACATTCTCCAAATTACTCATTTGCATGTTGAATTTTGACAGTCATGCCTAATAAGATTTGTTGAAATACTGCTCCTACAGCCCAGCGCAGCTTTAATGGCTGTAAAATTTCTACTCCTCTTAAAGGTACATATTATTATAACAGTTCTTTGAGTTTTTCTTTAATTTCAAGACTAAATCTATGTTTTACATATTGCATACTTAGGATTAAAAGTTTGAGGGTGTTATGAATCTGGTTAAAACTCCCTTTATTTCTTAAGTCCTTCTCTCAGTAACTAGTTTTGGTCGCTCCTTTACGAAGTAACTTAAAAACAGTTACGTACCCAATTTGCAGGGTATTAATTAATGTGTTTCCTCTTTGTTTTTAAGTATTCTTGTTCTGTTTTCAGATGACTGTTAGGCCTTAACCATAAAGTTCACCTATTTAAAATGTACAGTTCAAGGGGCACCTGGGTGGCTCAGTCGGTTAAGCATCTGACTCTTGGTTTTGGCTCAGGTCACTATCTCATGATTCGTGAGATTGAGCCTCATGTCGGACTCCACACTGTGAGTGTGGAACCTGTCGGAACCTGTCCATGTCGGACTCCACACTATTAGTGTGGATTCTGTCTCTGCCTTCTCCTGCATGCTCTTTCTCTCTCTCTCAAAATAAATAAATATTTAAAAATAAATAAATGTACAACTCAGTATTTTTTTTATTATTGAGTTGTAAGAGTTCTTTACATAATTCTGGTTACAAGTTTCCAGATGAAAGTTACTATATGTATGATTTGCAGATATATTCCCTATTCTTTGGATCATTTTTTCACTTTCTTGAAAGTGTCATTTCCAATACAAAAGTTTAAATTTTGAAGTAGTCTAATTTATTTTTCTTTTGTTTCTTATGCCATGACATGTTAATATTAGATAAATACTATCTGCCTGTCCTTAAGCAAATCATTCCTACATTGCTTGCCTTTTTAATATAGTTTAACTCAACTGATGTTTTCTGAATTCCCATTTAGTGCTTATTTCTGAGAAATAATCAGGAAACTCTACTCAGTGTTAAACTATTCAAGATTGGTGGGAGAATAGATAAATGATAAGTTGCTGACAGAATGAAATAAACTGTTTTGTTCTCAGAAATATCCACTAGGATATGGATCTCTGATTAGTATAATAAAATATATATTCCCTCCCAGACTTAAAAAAAAAATGCATGTAAGGTGCATCTCTTTGTCTGTACCCGTGTGTTAGATGTGTCCCTGTCTGTGAGCACATGCCTCTGGGTGTGCATGTGCACCTGTACGTGTGTGTGCAGCTCTTTGTGCGTGTGTGTGTCAGATGCTGTTTTGTATGCCAACTCCTAATTGGACATGGTGGCTTAGGTGTTAGAGTGTAGAAAGTGAGGGAAATGCATAAGATTTTTGTATTTTCATTCTTTATCTGCTCTTTAAAATCTAAGTTTCTAAAGGGTGGGAAGAAAAGAACTCGAGAATGCAAAGAGTTTAAAGGAGGCTGCTGAGTTTGTAAATACCAGGCCAGGATCAAGGCCACTTACATAGCAACTGAGCTACTCAGCTCATCTCACTGGACTCCCTTTCCTAAAAAAACTAAGTGAATAATAAAGTTTCTAATCCTACTCCAACTATAATAATAAGATGCAGATTTTATTTCATAGTACAAAAAATAGTATCGTTTCTAAGCCAAGGCTCAATTTCAGAGCCTTTAGGAACCTCAAGTTTAGAATTCTCTAAAAACTCAATATAAGAAAAGCATGGGGAAAAATGTTTTTATGCTTCAAGAGTTAATAGCTTTAAGTCTCTTGAAAAAATTTTAATGTTTCTAACAAATCTAGCTAGTTCTGATAGTATGACGCTGAAGTGGATTCATCATGTTCAGGAATCACACATTCCTATGGTATTCCCACAGGATGTATGCCGGGTCCTTTATGCCAGGCGTGAAAGTAGAAAGCCTTGTTGTATGTGTTATTTTAAACTCCTCTTTTTATATCCAAATATGTTTTCAAAAGCCTTATTAAAAAGTAGTCATTGATGGCTGTGTATTTTGCATTTTTGTGAAATGTTTATGTAAATCGCATTCCAAATTTAGTAAGTCTCCTGGTAATTAATGTTTTTGACTGAAGTAGATAAAGTGAGAATCATTTTGTATTCTGATTCTATTTTTAAATCTTTTCAGTGTTTATTCTGTACTTCCTGAGGCTCTCCTCTATGCTATCCAGACTTTTATTAAATTTTATATATTTGCTTATTTATATATAATTAATTGTTATGAAAAGAAACGGAGTGTGACTTTTTTTTTTTTAATGTTTATTTATTTTTGAGAGAGACGGAGACAGAATGTGAGTGGGTTAGGAGCAGAGAGAGAGTTACAAACAGAATCCGAAGCAGGCTCCAGACTCCGAGCTGTCAGCACAGAGCCTGACATGGGGCTCCAACTCACAAGCTGTGAGATCATGACCCCAGCTGAAGGCAGACACTCAACTGACTGAGCCACCCAGGCGCCCTCAGAGTGTGACTTTTAAAATCTGAAAAAAGAGTAGAATTTAATGGGCAGAGTGGGGAGTGATGGATTGTGTGGAGACTCGTGGAAAAGGCCTTGTAGTAGAAGGGAGCATAGGAAGAGTAAAGAGAATCACTGTGGCTAGAACCCAAAGAGTTATTAGCAGGAGGTGAAGCAGGGGCTAGACCAGAACCTAGGACCTTAGAGCTATGTTGACAAGGTTACTAACACTCGGAAAATATGCAAGAGGTTTAAGCAAGGGTGGAATGATTAAATTTGTGTTTTTAAAAGATCCCGATGACTCCAGTGTAGAAAACAAATCAGACAGTGGAAAGAGTAAATGAAAATGCTGGTCGCCCAGAGAGTAAGGCTATTACAGTATTTCCTCCAGGCGATGCTGTCCGTAATGAGTTGGTAATGAGAAAAGTGGGCAACTAAGAGAAATATTTAGAAGGTAAATAGGGGAATGTGGTGATGAATGGAATAATGGGGATTGAAGGAGAATGTGTCACCAAGGATGCTTACTGGTGCTGTTTACTTAGATAGGAAAGCTGTAAGAGGATCTTTTAGGGGCATTAGCAGGACTCAGGAGTTTGGTTTGACACATCGTTTAAGCAGTTTTGGGGACACTTAAATTAAATGTGTAGATTGACTTGTATTTGGAAGATACGGATAGGGAGTTTAGAGGTCAGTGCTGCAGACACATATCAGAGTCATTTGGATATAGAGAATCTAGAGAGAAAGAGAGTATAAATAAGAGAAGAGGGCCCATAATAAAGTCTTGAGGAACTTTAACATTTAGTCACCAGGCAAAGGGGAATGAACCTGTGAAGAAGATTGAGGAGTATCCCACGAGACAGGAATAAAATCAGGAAAAGTAAGGGGAGAGAGTTTAAGGAGAGGTGCTGCTCCTTAACAGTGCGGTAGGATGCTACTGAAAAATAACAAATAAGACGAATGTGGGAATTTGATTTCAGCAACTTGGAAGTTTTTCTTGATTTTAGCAAAAGCATATTCTGTGAAATGATGGATCAGAAGTTAGACTGGGAGTGAATGGAAGAGTGAGTGGAAATGGCTGTATAAACTCCAAAAAACAGCCCAGATAGGCCGTAGCTGGAGGGACATGTGGGATAAAGAGATTTTACGTTTAAGGCGGGGCCGACAATGGTATTTTGTGGGTCGAAGAGGATCAAGAGGGTAAAACATCCCAGAGGGTGGATGTATCGAGAGGAAGAGAGAGGCTCCAGCTAAATACAAATCAAAGAAGGGACTTTACGTCATTTATTGTAGCAGGTGCGAAGCAGGAGGGAATGAGTGCACGCGTCTGTAGGTTTGCTGGCCGGATACTGAGGGAGCTGTGCCTAAAGAAGCTTTCTTACCTCTAGGAGAGAGATGAAGTCGCTTGATGAAAGTAAGGAGGAATTCAGCTGAGGGTTCAGGCAGACGAAAGGTAGGCGGTTTGGGGAAATTTCAGAGGGTGCACATAGTTGTAGAACTTCGGAGAAAGTGTTGAACCAGAGAAGTGTTGTAAAACTGATGGCAATGCTGCAAACATGTTTGAAATTGGTGACTCTGAGTTTCTCCTGGCCTGTCTGCCACACCAGTGAGTCTCCAGCAGCTGTGCTAGTCAAGTAAGGAACAGAGTGTTCCTCCGGGGGCTTCAGGTACTTTAGGGAAGGGTAAAGCAGGGGTTTGCTGGCCCATGTGTAACAGCCAGTTCTCGAAAAAACCAAAGATGTGATTTGTTTGTTGTCTTTGCTGATATACGTGGTATAAATCCTGTCTGTGGCCAGTTTCAGGGTATCAACCTGACGTGCCAGAATGTAGAATTGGGAAGAGACGAACAATAGCCGGTCTTTTTCACCCCTCATGTATGAGAGATGTAAACAACCTCGAAAGCCTAGTAGTAAAATGTAAAATAAAATTTTAAATGTAAAACAATTCGGAAGTGATACATTTTGAGTATTACCTATATTTTTAATATAATTTATTTATAGCCTTATATAACTTAAACTTTAATGATGGCTCTTTAGCAGTGAGCTCAGTAGTCTTCTGTTGTAATAATAAGCTCTCAGCATGAGTCAGCTCAAGTACTAGCTATAAATACTGAAGTACAGGATAGAGTGATAAGTGATACTATGGAATGGTGCACAGAATACTGTCTGACAAAGGGAGGACCATCTAATATAGTCATTGAGAGAGGTTACCTGGATTGGATGATGCTTGAGCTGGGACTTTTGGAACAAGTAAGAGCCAACCAGATAGGAGACGGGTGATGGGAAGAAGGATTAGCACATGGGAAGGCATGGAAATTTAATGTAGTTGTACCTTCAGAAATAAAATTTCTTCATTTGTCAGATATTTGAGCAGGAGGGAAGTTATCTCTCTTCTTTAGGGTGTTTTACATAGAGGCAGAATTACTAAAGAGTCATTTCTAAGTGGAATCGTTTTGATTGCAAAGGAATTATTAGGAGTTACTGAAAATGACCTAGAAAATAATGTATACCAAAGAAATATGTTTGCATAAGGAACAACAGTGGCTTCCAACAAAATGTAACAGTTTCCAGAATTCAGATACATTTTGGTGTATGGCATCATAGGAAATATTTGCAACACAGTGCCCAAAAAATGATATGTAAGATGATCAGAGAAAACAAATTTTTAGAGACTCCATTATTAACTAGACTAAGTCTTCATTTCATTAGGGAAGAAAATTAACATATCCTGTTCTAAACATTTGTGGTAACTCAGAATTTTTGTATGTTTTCACGTCCTCAGACAAAACCTTCAGGATTTATATTATATCAGTGCCAGCCCTGTCCCCTTCCTCCACTTGACTACTTCCTGCACTGCTGCATTTACCTGTCGTGGAGAAAGGTGCTAATTTCTCTTTCAATTTCATTTTAGATTTGTGTTCCAGTTTGTTTTGTCTTTCTCTGTGTGTTCTTTATCCATAGCTACAAGACATTCTTACCAAAATGTGTTCGAGCAAAGATCCAAGACTATCATATTTTGACAAGGAAGAGAATAAGGTATAGATTTCGCAGATTTATTGAGCAGTTCAGCCATTGCAAAGCCACTGCCAGAAACTTGAAACTTAAGTATCTTATAAATCTGGAAACACTTCAGTCTGCCTTCTACACAGAGCAATTTGAAGTAAAAGAACCTGGAAGAGGTCCTTCAGGTGAGGAGATTTTTGCAACCATTGTAATAACTGGAAACGGTGGAATTCAGTGGTCAAGAGGGAAACATAAAGAAAGTGAGACACTGACAGAACAGGTAATCCTTAATGATATGTTCTCCTTCTTTGTTAATTTAAGTGAATGGCAATAGAAACAAAGTAATTTTTCTCATTTGAAACATGAACTTGCGATTCTCTTCTCTCATTGATAAAAGTGGAAGTTTTAATACTGTGAAACCATCAAGGTCATGTCTATAATTCTTTTCTTATTGTTCTTAAATGGTTTTTTATTTATTTTTTATGACAAATATTAGTAATGGTGTTCTTACAGTTTCCAAAAGGGCTTGAATTCTAAAAGTGATTTTTAAGGTAGTTTTGCCTCTTTTTAAAATTTTACCGTTATTGATAATAAGCACAATCATAAAGTTTAATTGGAAAAGTTTAATTTTAATTGATTTTAAGATGATGTCTACTTGTTATTTGTTTAAGTCTGACACTACAAGTTTTAAGTTTGTTCATATCTATGTTCTTGGATTATTATTAGATTATTAGATTCTTTCTTGGTTAAACTTCAACTTTCTGACAATAGTTCCTATCCATGTTGATTGGATTGAAGGGTACTGTAGCATAGTTCTTGGTAAACAAGACACAGTAAGTCTTAGGGTTAGACTGTCAAGGGAGGGAATCCCATTTAATGCTGATCTGTTGCTGTCAATACTTTTTTATTTTAAAGAATTTGGAATGAATGTTATGTCCTTCATAGTCTTATTTTAAAATGGCTCCCTTAGTTCTACCTGTTTTTAATTTCAAATGCTCTTAATTATAGGATTTACAGTTATATTGTGACTTTCCTGATATCATTGATGTGACTATTAAACAAGGAAACCAAGAAGGCTCAAATGAAAGTAGAATTGTAACTATCCATAAGCAAGATGGTAAAAATCTGGTGAGTTTGCTCTATAGTTACATAATGATTACGTTTAACAGTTGTCAGAAATAAGTGTTTTAGAGTCCTGAAACCAGAGTTATTTTCTTGTAGGAATTCTGATGATAGTTTTAAATATAACTCTAAATGTAAACATCAGTTTAGCAAGTTTTTGGGTACAGCTAGCTTTTGTAGCGCTACCAACACAATCTTCCCAGAATGTCTTGAGCATTAATGTGTTTCTCACTCATTTTTATGATTGGTAAGTTAGCAGTTCCTCCACTCCCCTGCTGTGGGCTGTGTCAGTTCCCTGTTGTAATGCTCAGTCCTGGCGACATTCCTTTTATCAGTAGGGATGTGCATAATGCCAGTCATGCTGCCTCACTAAAACAGTGCTTTCTGGGATTCACATAACGTAAACCAGTCCCAGGTTAGCCCTACCTAAGCTGTAACATGTGATTGGTTCTAAAAGATGATCCTTTCTCTTTATTTGGTCAGCTTCAGAAAACCCACTTATTTTGTTTTTTATTAAAAAAATTTTTTTACTGTAGTATAGTTGACACATAATGTTATATTAGCTTCAGATGTACAACATAATGATTTGATAATCCTGTACATCACACAGTGCTCAGCATGATAAGTGTCGTTAGAAAGCCTGCTTATTTTAACTGAAAGGGAGCAACTAAATTCCCTTATACTCTGCTCTTAAATTGCTTACCTGGTTCTGTCAGGGGATGCCTTCATTGTGTAAATGTGGTATTTATAAAAGAATAAGTATTTCTAGAAGAGTTCGTTGATGCTAATATGAACATCCTGTAGTAACATAATGTACTTTATGGGATGGTATTTGGACCTGTTGGCTTTGTTATTACTTTTTTAATGTTTATTAATATTTTTGAGAGAGAGAGAGAAAGTGAGCAGGGGAAGGCAGAGAGAGAGGGAGACACAGAATCGGAAGCAGGCTCCAGGGTCCGCACCATCCACACGGAGCCCGACGTGGGGCCTGAACCCATGAACCGTGAGATCGTGACCTGAGCCAAAGTCAGACGCTTGCCTGAGCCACCCAGGAGACCCTTTTTTTAAATTTTTGTTTTGTTTTGTCTTTAAAGTTTATTTTGAGAGAGGAAGAAGGAGAGAGAGACTCCCAAGCAGGCTCTGCACTGCTCGTGTGGAGCCTGACGTGGGTCTCAGACTCACAAACCGTGAGATCGTGACCTGAGCCAAAATCAGCTGTCAGTCACTTGATCTACTAAGCCGCCCAGGTGCCCCGTCTTTCTTTTTATCTTTAAAAGTGTGGTGAAATACACTTCACACAAAATTTAGCATCCTGTTCTAGGAGTTCCACTTCAGGGTGTGTATCCAAAGGAAACAAAGTCACTACCCTGAAGAGAGATTGGTACCCTCATGTTCATTGGAGATTCCTTGAATGTTATCAGGTTTTAAATATTTTACCAAACTGATGGATAAAAATCTCTGTCCTGTGCTATATTTAATTTGCTTAATTAGAACCTGAGATTGAGCAAGGTCTTATGTGTTTGTAAACCAGCTGTTTGTATGTCTTCTTCTGCAGATTGTCTTTTTATAACCTTTGACTAATTTTCTTTTCTGCTTTTAATTGATTTTGTACATTTTTTGGTTAAGTTTAATCTTAGGTACTATTTTATGTTTGGGTTGCTATTATAAATGGGCCTATTTTCTCATTACACAATCTGACTACTTTTTATATGTGTGAAAGCTGTTGACTTGTATATCCTATCTCCCAGTGAATTATCTTTGTGATGTAGTAGTTTAATAGTTGTCTTCTTCTGGGTTTCCCAAGTACACAATCATATAATCTCCAAATAGAGATACTTCTAGTCTTACATTTCTTTCTATGGCCTAATTATGTTAACTAAATACAGTACAACACAGTATTAAGTATTGGGCTTTCTATTCCTATTTCTTATTCCTGATTTTAGGACAAGTTGCTTCTATTAAATAAGGATTTTTCCATTGTAAGAGATGTTGCATTTTAGGCTGATTATATGCTCACTTATGTATGTATGATACAATCATGGCATAGCTATATATGATTTTATTTTATACTATATACATTTGAGTTTACAGCATGAATGTTTTAACCTTAGTAGTGTATACTTGGTATGTAAAAATACTTATTATTTCTAATTAATACCAACTTTTATATCAGACCAGATAGATTTCTAATTGAGATGACTGGCATATTTGTCTAATTGGGGTATTGGGAAATACAGCAAAATTATGGATAAAAATGAACTAGAAAGATGTGATAAGCCCATATTTGAGGAGTGTAAAATATCATACATAAGAATTTATAATTCATATTGGGTAATTGGGAGGCATAAAAGACATTTGAGCAATTTATAAGAAAATTAATTTAAGAGAATTCGTCTAATGACATGGAGTGGAGAGAATTTTCAATAGGTAACATGCAGTTGACCTTTCAAATGATACTTATTATTTCCTTTTCTTTTCTCTGCTTAGGAAATTGAACTAAGCTCATTAAGAGAAGCTTTATCCTTTGTGTCATTAATTGATGGCTATTACAGATTAACCGCGGATGCACATCATTACCTCTGTAAAGAAGTAGCTCCTCCGATGGTGCTTGAAAATATACAAAGCAACTGTCATGGCCCGATTTTGTGAGTAATACAGACTTTAAAAGTAATTTTTTTAAAAAGTCAATTAGATACTGACAAAGAATTTTATACAACGAAGTGATATGCGTAGGTTTAGGAGTTTAGGAACAAAATACTAACCTTAATTTCACAGAAGTAGTTTTTTCTTTTCCTTAACAAAAGTTGACTTGCAATCGGATTGTATAATAATTAGAATTATTTAGGATGTCACTTGCTTTCTGTATCGAAGCCTATGAGACTTAAATTGTACAGCCTGGTGTTTAGCTGCCTAGGTGTGTTTAAGTAACTCTTGAGTGTTAATTTTTTTTAAAAAAAAATCATCCAATTTATATTTCATTAATTTTGAAATACTGCAGAGGAACCACAGTGCAAAATTTAGTAATCATTGTTTTTTGATAATCCAGCTCCTCTTACTGAAAACTTGTGTTCACAAGATGTGTTGTGATGTCCCTGTTTTGAAGATGAGTGAGTGGTGTGCAATGCTTTGTGCGGGGATGAAAGTGACAGCGCTCTGTTTCTGTGCTGTTCAATACAGTAGTCGCTGGCTACTTGTGGCCAGTTAGCATTCACGATGTGGCTAGTGCAGCTGAGGGAGTGGGTTTTGAAACTGAATGTAGTTTTAATAACTTTGTACTTAAACAGTGCCCTGTGGCTGCTAGCTCCGTATGGATCCACACAGGGACAGACCCTGACTGTAGTACTGGATAAAGCCAAGTGTCCCGCACAGCATCTGTTTAGCCCAAGTTTTAGTTACCGCTCAGCCTGTATGTACTTTCGGATTGGTACCAGGCTTGAAAGACTTGTAAGGAAGAAATAGACTGGAAGTGTGAGCATACGTGTCTTGACCTTAACCTACCCTTAATTAAATATTTGAGAAAAACGTATCCGGACTGATGTTTAAGACTTGTTTCTGTCTATACCTCTAATCTATTTAATAGTAAGTATGGTTGTTATGAAAAAGTTGCACTACTTGAACATTCTATAACTTACGTATTTAGTATTTAAAAACTCCTACCATTCATTCATTCATTCATTCTTCATCCATCCATTCAAGCATTCTTTCATTTATTTATAGAACATTTGCTGGGTGCCTAATATGGGCCAGTGGTTTGTGTATGAGAAATACAGTGATGAATGAAACAGATTTTTCCTGCTTTCATATAGATTACCTTTTGACTTTTCTTTCAAGATGTCCAGCTTCAATAAAACATATAGTAAAATTTGAAAATCAGTAATCTTTGTCACTTGCCATAGGTCTTCTATTATACTTTGGTATTAAATACTAAAATAAGGCATATAAATTTTTATACTAGTAATTGCGATGGTAGCAAAGACATAAGTGTTTTATGATATGTTGTTTGCATAGTTAAATGAAGTTTTCTGGGAGTGAACATGGTTTTTAAAAAAACTAAATTTTTAATTATAAGACAGAAAATTCAAATGAACAAAATGTTCTTAGTGATTTTCTGTATCTTACTATACCTTTTATTTGTTTTTAAAACCCTTGAATTGATTTGAACTTATCGCAAAATAGCTTTGAAACAGTTAAAAATTGATTTGAACTTATCGCAAAAAGTACTGTAATACTTTTCCTTACAAGGTAGTTGATAAGCATATAAAACAGAGGAGACTTATAAAAAGTCTGAGACTTTTAGATTTGACTTTTGATCTCTTAGATTACATTTTGGTCTTAGTGTCATGGGACTTGCTATATTATTCAAATTGCTTCTTTACCTTTAGAATGGATTTTGCCATCAGTAAACTGAAGAAAGCAGGTAATCAGACTGGACTCTATGTACTTCGATGCAGTCCTAAGGACTTTAATAAATATTTTCTGACTTTTGCTGTCGAGGTTAGTATTTCACAATAAATGGTAACTTTTTTTAAAAATTTCATTTCCCATCCCACTCCCCTCCTCTGGCAAAGGTAACATCTTTATTTAGCCTGTATAATTTCCCCCTCATGTTCATCTACCATTTTTTCTTTTTTTTAATACTCAGAATGACAGCTCTGGATATGATAACTAGAATAATAATGCTTAGTTAAGCTCAGAGATTCTGTATCAATAAATAAGATGTAGGGGCGCCTGGGTGGCTCAGTCGGTTAACGTCCATTTCTTGATTTTGGCCTCAGGTCATGATCTCATGGTTGGTGAGATGGGCCCTGCGTCAGGCTCTGTGCTGGCAGTGAGGAGACTGCTTGGGATTCTCTCTCTCTCTCTGATCTCCCCCAACTCATGCTCTCACTCTCTCAAAATAAATGAATAAACTTAAAAAAAATAAGATATAATTCCTAGGATTTATATAAAATTATTTATAATGCCTTTTCATTTGGTATTTATTTCATTTTTTTAAACGTTTATTTATTTTTGAGAGAGAGCACAAGTGAGAGAGGGGCAGAGAGAGAGGGAGACACAGAATCCAAAGCAGGCTCCAGGCTCTGAGCTGTGAGCACAGAGCTTGACGGGGGGCTCAAACCCGCGAACCACGAATCATGACCTGAGCCACCCAGTTGCCCCTGAAATTTATTTTAGTTTTTGACATTTGGATGTTACTAGCGTGTCGAATTTGACCAAGTCTCTTCAAGTCTCTTTTTGCAAAAATGGAGATCTTTACCAAAACACAGAACCAAATGAATTAGAAGCAAATTTTCCTTTTATGCTAATTGGTTATAGAATTAGAATGAAATAGGTCAATAACAAATAAACATAATTTGTTTAACTAGTGGTTTTCCAGTATTAAGAATAATGATCTACCATGTATATGTTTTAAGGATAAAACTACAATGAAACCACACTGTTAATACAGGTAATTTTGAATCTCATCTAACATTGTTTACTACCCCAAATATCTAAAAAGATACTCTTACTTCTAAGGCAGTTTCATGGTATAAATCTTTTTTTTCTTTTTCCCTTTTTTTTTTGTTTTTTAATTAAAAATTTTTTTTTTAATATGAAATTTATTGTCAAATTGGTTTTCATACAACACGCAGTGCTCATCCCAACAGGTGCCTTCCTCATGCCCATCACCCACTTTCCCCTCCCTCCCACTCCCCCATTAACCCTCCCTTTAAAAAAAAAATTTTTTTTAATGTTTATTCATTTTTAAGAGACAGAGTGTGAGCGTGGTGGGGTGGGGAGTGAACAGAGAGAGAGAGAGAGAGAGACACAGAATCTGAAGCAGGCTCCAGGCTTTGAGCCATAGCCTAGAGCCCAATGCGGGGCTCAGAGTCTCAAGCTGTGAGATCATGACCTGAGTGCAAGTCGGATGCTTAACCGACTGAGCCACTCAGGCGCCCCTCATAGTATAAATCTTGAGAAACTTTATAGCAGCTTCCAAAATTTTCTTACTTACAGAAGTATACAAAGTAATGTTTTTTGGTTATTCAGTTATTTTAATTTTTATAAAACTCAGTCACTTTATATTTAGCATATAGAGTAGATTAATTGTCCATAAGTATATAAGGTGGGTTACTTGATAAGTTTAGCATTTAATATTACTAATAATCTATCCTAATTTCATTGTATCTTTTTACTGTAATACATAGCAGTCCAACATATTTAACCATCAATTCAAAATGTATTTTTTTTATGTTTACTTTATTTGCTCAACCTAATATGAGGGCTGTATACTAGAGAGTGTATGGCATAACCCTGCTTTAAGAAATGTATCTTTTGGGAAAACAAAAATAGGAAGATATACCAAAGAAGTACTAAACTGAGCATTGTAATTAGTCAGTATAGACAAACATAGACAATAACAAAAAGGGTTGCAATTAAGGAAGAGCTTTTGGAGTAGGAAAGATTTGGGGTATTTTGTCAGTTTCATTTCATAAGTGGTTTTAAGGAGGTTGAATATGCTAATAAGTAGCTCCAAAAATAGGTGAATAAAGAAGTTCATAGTATAGCACATAAAACAAACACTGAAAAACTAAAAATATTAAAATCTCCAGGAGAGTTAATTATGCAAATACAGTAGTGGTACAGTGAATGGGTAATCATCTTTGCGTATGAAATGGGGTCAGGGTTGTTAGGGAGTACCTCACAGAAAAGATGATACTTGACCCTAGTGTTAAGAAATGTCTAGGGGCGCCTGAGTGGCTCAGTCAGCTAAGCGTCTGACTTCAGCTCAGGTCATGATCTCACGGTTCATGAGTTCGAGCCTCGCGTCCTGCCCTGGGCTGACAGGTCAGAGCCCGGAGCCCGCTTCAGATTCTGTGTCTCCCTCTGTCTGCCCGTCCGTGGCTTGCACTCTGTCTCTCGCATTGTCTCAAGAATAAAAATTAAATAAAAAAGAAGTGTCTAAAAGTCCATTGCTCAGAAGGAGAGGATGTATATTCATACGTAGAGAACAGCATGGCATTTGCTTGAAATTTTTAAAGTCGCTTAATACAGCTAGAACAGGTTATATGTTGGCTCCGGTAGAAGGTGAGGTTGGAGGTAGAGGCTGAAGCCTGCTCTTGGAAGTCCTTATTTATAAGTTACTTTTAGATTTTGTCTTGTAAATGATGGGAAGTTTTTAAGGATGGTATTATAATTATCATTGCTTTCTTACTTGCTTTTTAAGAAAATCAACTGTTGAGCCATTATGTAAGGTTTGTATTATCATCAGATACCTTTTTGAGGAACCAGGCACGTCTCTCACCCTATACCAGCACTGTGTTAGGATTCACACTTCATATGTCTAAATGTTCTGTTGGTTGTTTCTGTGATAACATTTTTGTCACAATAATTACTGTGGCGACCATTGTGATTTTTCCCTCTGTCTTTATAATTAAACTTATTTAGCGAGATAATGTCATCGAATATAAGCATTGTTTGATTACAAAAAATGAGAATGGAGAATACAACCTCAGTGGGACCAAGAAGAACTTCAGTAATCTTAAAGATCTTTTGAATTGCTACCAGATGGAAACTGTTCGCTCAGACAGTATAATTTTCCAGTTTACTAAATGCTGCCCCCCAAAGTTGAAAGGTAAAATAATTTTCTAGTTAGTATTAAAATACTGGTCATGGATTGTGTATATGGTAAAAGGCATCTTCAGTGTATCGATTACAAAAGAAATATGAGAGAAGCAGCTCCAAACACAAATTAATTTTGTCTTGTTCTCTTGTATAAGGATCCTCAGATAGGATTATTCAGTTTGATTTAAGTCTATATGTCAGTTGAAGTTCCATAATGCTGAAATGACATTTAAGAAATGACAATCACTTGGTATAAAATCACTTACTGAAAGACTCCTCTGCCAAATCTCATATGTTGTTCTAAGTAAAAACTTTCATACTCTTTTAGAATTTTAATTTCTATACTTTTAAAATAACGATAGTAAGATTATAAATCCCTTGGAATAAGAGGTTTATTAAAAATTGTTATTAAAATTCCTGAAAAATTATGTTAATTAAGGAAATCATTACAGTTTTGAATGTTTGAAATAACTGGTTAAAATGCATCAAAGCCCAATGAATAAATTCCTAAAATAAATTTCTCTTTGTTGGAGAAATGAACAAGTTGTAAGTGTTTCTTATGTATAGAACACATTTTATTTTACTCCTTTGGAGCAGTTTATATCCTCAGTGTGTTTGGTTATATATTTTTTTTTCATTTTTTTTTTAAACAGATAAATCAAATCTTCTAGTCTTTAGAACCAATGGCGTTTCTGATGTACCAACATCACCAACATTACAGAGGCATAATAATGTGAACCAAATGGTGTTTCACAAAATCAGAAATGAAGATTTGATATTTGTAAGTCATTAGATACTAATTGTTGTCCTTTTTGTCCTTGTAAAACAACTGTTTTCTTGATTTCCTATCCCACATTATATTCATGTGACATTTGGAACTATCCTATTATAACCTATATTATCAAAATTTTATCTCAGTTTAAGTATTTTTATTTCTCGGGGCGCCTGGGTGGCGCAGTCGGTTAAGCGTCTGACTTCAGCCAGGTCACGATCTCGCGGTCCGTGAGTTCGAGCCCCGCGTCGGGCTCTGGGCTGATGGCTCAGAGCCTGGA